ATAAATTATTATTTTATTTAAAAAATACTAAATACAATTAAATTTTCTAGGCAAATTTGCCTGGAATACAGTTTAAGGGATAATATATAATTGCTATATAATATTAAAAATTTGCATAACTCTTTTTAATGATTACTTGTACCAATCAGTCTCCAAAAGCAAGTTAAAGACTCAAAATTTGAAGTTAACAAATAACTTGAAGTTTTTTTAATATAAACTGTTATTAATAAAGTCTTAAATATGATATATTGAGAAGCAGATATTTTGAATAGTTTGCAAGGGATTAAGCCTTGTTTTCTTCTCTTATTAGATAGACTCCTCTTTGTGTTTAGTATTCAAACTAGAGAAGTTTTTAGAAACAGTAAATAGAAAGAAGACTCAAGTTAGTTTAAGTACAGAAGATTATAAAGAACTCTTAGAATAATACTCTTTAATTAAAAAACTCATAAAACTATAATATTTTTTCACCACTATCTTTTTTAATAATTTTCATCAAAAAGTAGAGGATTTGGCTATCTCTCCAAAAGATTAATATTATTTATCACTTCTATTTTTAAAAGTCTTGAGTTATAATATAACAAATAAAGAATACAACAATTATATATAAAAAAAAGGTTCTATTTTAGTTAGATCAAAGTATATAAAGAAAGTCTCATATTTGAATTAGATTTTAATTGTCAGAAATGAACGCTTTATATGATAAACTTGAAGTAGCTTCAAATAATGACTAGTTGATTATAAAAAAACCTTCTGTTTAATCTCATATAATATAAAAGCAAGGTCTGAAGTAAAAACTATAAGAATATTAGCTTAAAAAAACAGTTTATTAAAAATAGAACTAACAATTATATATTGAGCTTTAAAATTAATATTCTAGAATTCAAAATAGATTTAAATGAGAGTTGCAAGCTAGAGCAATATATTAAAAATATACAGTATTCAAAGTCATAGATATATAATTTTTAGCTCTTAGCACAGGTTAAAATATATTTTAGTTCATAGTTTTTTTGTTAGATAGCTTTATATATAGATTTTTATGACTATATAAATAGTTTTTACTTAGTTAGCAGGTTTTTATATCTGTAGACAAGTTTTTTTAGATTTTAGAATAATTTTTTAGATTTTTTTATATGTTAGTTATTTTCTTATATATTTGTTTTTTTACTTCCTCTATTTTCATTTTACTTTTACCTCTTTTTTTTCTTTTTTACTTTTCTATAAGAAAGTGTTATCAGATTAGTAATACTTTATTGTAAAGTAGTGATTCTGACAAGGTGATGAAAATTATCTGTTGATATCTGGTGCTAATATCTTCAGAAAGTTGAGGATTTTAAAAAGAGGAAAATTGTTTAGTTAGGCAGATCGATCCTGAATTATATTTTAGCATAATTTAGAGTTTATATTATTTTTATTGTGATAATAAAACAGATTGAGAAAATCTTTATTTGTATAAGAATATAGTAATATTAACAATATGCATGTAGATTTAGCTAGCGGAGAATATTTCTATAATTTACTTCTGATTAATAAAATAAAAATAGGATCACTAAAGTAAAAAACATAATTGCTATATGATTGGATCACTAATCTTCTTTTGGTTATTCTATAGAATAAATTGACAATATAAGAAATAAGCTTCACTAATAATTAGTAATTATTATTTTTAATAGCAGAGTTGCGAATTTGTAAAGCTTTCCTACCTATTTTATAAAATATTCCTTCTTTATAAGATAAAGATCTTGTTGACTAATTTACTAAACTAATTTATTAGAATAATAGAATTAGAAAAAGAAGATAAAAAAGGTTTATTTAGATAAAATGAAGTATTAAATAGGATAAAATTATTAGATAGAATAAGTAAAATAGATTAAAAAATAAATTTGCTTATATGTACAAATAATATATATAATCTGGCTCTTTATCTATTATAAAGTTTAAGTTTTATGTCTTGCAAATAAATTATCCTATAAGTTATATATAATATTTTATTCAAAGTGTTCTAAAACTACTCTACAATATTATAATTAAATAAATTTTTATTTTGCCTGTCCTATTATTAAATATAGTAAAAGTAAGTTTCATTTGTTCTTGTTTTGTAATGTAACTTAATATTTGTTTTCTAGTTTAGGCTTAATATAAAGTAGTAAAATTATAGTTATAGAATTAAAGAGTAGATTATCTCATATGATTGTACTAGTCAGTCAATATATCAAATTAGTTGTGGTTTTAGTAGAAAAAGTATAGAGATAGTATTAGAAAAATAAATAAAATGAACTAGAAAGATACTTACCAAAAGAATCAATCAACTCGTCAAATCTAACTGCCTCTTTCATTTAAACCTATTGTAGGTTCAAGAATATATCAAACTAGAAGTTGTTTACATCGTTTAAATTACTGATATCACTATACTAATATTGTAAGTACTGTAATGAACCTATTATTGACTGCTATAAAATATTGGACCATAATATTAAATAAAAAGTAAGGACAAAACCAATTATATCTTTGAAATTGGACTAAGGTGTCCAGAATTCTGTACAAATTTTATCTGCTAATTTGGCCAGAATTATTAATATTATTTAGTTGCTTTATGCAAAAAATTTGATATGACTTAATTGCTAAATATTATTTCATATCAACAATAATATTATGCCTCAAACTCTGATTAAAAAAGAGTAATCCAATATAAATATTCAATTTAATTATGAATTTTGCACATTTTGCAAATTCTAAGAATTTAGCAATTATATTACAGAACTTGTATAACTTTTGAATTGCAGTATTCTACATACTCTAGATTAGAGATAGGTAAGGTAATAAGTAATAATTACTTATTTTTTTTCTAGTACTTACAAATAAATATTCTTACTAATTATCTATATCTAGAAAGTAAAATTTTAAACTTACTAATTTGCTGATCATGTTGCATTTTGCTTATATACAAATCTTTACTTACTATTACTTATTACACAAAAATTTAAAGAAATAATAATTAATAATACATCAAATATAAGATAATTTAGTACTATATTTTATAAAATTTTAAAACAACACAATACAGTACGAAGTTATATATATATAAAGATAATTTTGTACTAAATTGTATAGAATATAAAGTAAAGATCAATATAGTACAAATTATGTATATACTGAATCACTAACCACCAATCGAACATGGCTACAGATAATTTGACCTTCTGAACTCATTTTTTTTTGACACATCTATGCGACTTTCTTTATGTTGACCTTTTTTTATAAAAAGACGACTTTATAATAAACTTTTTTTACCAAATTTATTATAGAGTTGGAATAGGAACATAGTAAATTACTTCTACAATAAAGTTTTAAAAATTTTTACTATAAGAACTATTAGTTCATTATGGAAAGTTACTTGTATACAATTTTTTTTAATCATTTGCTGATTATACAGTATTTTGACAAAAAATAAAAGTGGTCTTATATATAGAAATACAGGTTTTACAATTCATTTTATTGAAATAAAATTTTCAAAAAATATTATACTTTTAAATTCACTACTTTCATTATTACACAAATTAAAAAAATGAATGTAACAGAAACTTATTGAGATTAATCGCCCTTACTAAAAACTATTGAACTTATTAAAAAAACCTGTAAGTTATATAGTATATTATTTTTTTGTAAATGATTATACAATATACTAATAAATAAATTTAGAAGCAAAGACAATTCTAGTTAAATCTCTGTTATCAAAAAATCTAAAAACTCTAATTGCAAGTTAGTCTATTAATATTGAAAAACATGAAAAGCTTGTGAATCAAAAGAATAAAATAATGAGTTGAAAAAAGAAAATATGTTGTGAGAAAAGCTTTAAAAAACTTTTATATAATTGAACTTTTAATATACATTTTGCGAACAGTTTTATCGATATATAACAATATAATATTATTTATTTAATTAATATTGCAAATTCGAATGTAAAGTTTGTATAAATTAATTACACTTTTAAAGTGACTTATCTATGTAATAAATTATTTAGAATTATATAATTAACCAGTCACAATCCTAATAAATTAGTGAATCTGGTAAGCAATAAACTTGAATTCTCGATAATAGGTTCTCTTTGTGGTAATTTTAAATTGCTTTTCGATAACAATATTAAAAGTCATAGGAAGATATTCGTATGATTGGCTATTTAAATCAATTTAATTTTACATTATTTATACGGTTTAAAGTACTTTTTAAAAAAATCAAACTACAAAGAATAAACAAAAAAGAAGTATATAAAAAGTTTTATTAGGGTTGTAGGACTCAAGTATTAAAAATAATCAAAATTATTTCTGGTTTTAGAGTATATTTAAGAAGTTGCTACTATACTAACTTTTCTAAAAAATACTGGAGTCCTACAACCCTAATAAAACTTTCTATATACTTCTTTTTTATTTATACAGTTTAAAGTACTTTTTAAAAAAAATCAAACTACAAAGAATAAACAAATTGATTTAAACAGCCAATCATACGAATGTCTTCCTATAATATTAAAAGGCCTATTGTATTGTACTGTGTCATTAATATTATTTAATAGAGTACAGTACTCATTTGTACTATACAGATATACATTATAATTCACCTATATTTATGTACAGTACAGTATATTCAATAAAAAAATACTTCTATGCCCATACTAAACTTGCTAATTTATCCTAGAATGGACACACAATAGCTAGGGACAAATAACATAATTCATGCAATTTTAAAATCATGCAATCTTTAAAATCAATGTGATTTCCATATTTGTAATGATAAATTGACGCATTAATTATATAATAAAAATAAAATATATAATGGGGTGTAGCAAAATTAAATAAAAAGAAAAAAAAGTTTGATTAAAAATTTAATCTTTTTTTAATAATCGTCAGAATAAAGAAATACATACCCGTAAGATTGACATATTGGATTCGATATGGTTAAAACACAAAAGTCTAACAAAGAACATACTAGTAAGAGATAAATTTTCTTAGATCATTAGAGTATTTTATTATATTATTTATTATTTTTATTTACGTGATGAATAGTCTCTAAACCTTCTCTAAAAAATATTAAAACAAATAATTTACTTGAAAATGAGTCACAAGTTACAAATATTAGAATTACAGAAAATAAAATAAAAAAATCTTCGAATCGTACTAATGTGAAGAAAAAAAAAGAAAATAAAGAACCTAGTTTGGCAGACAGTGACAATGGTATAGTCTTATTATTGTCATTTTATAATATTCAAGGGTACTAACTTAGACATGATCTGGTCTGTGGGTGATTCATGTTTACATTTCTGTAGATCTAAAAATATCTAACCACAAAGTGAACAAGCATCAAATGTATCATCAAATAGCTCATTGCCTTCAATTAGAAGCCGTTCACCTAAAAATTTTTATAGCCAATACTCACTAACTACCCAGTCTCTTTTAGCAGAAAGGCATTCACCTGAGAGTATTTATGGCCAATGATCACCAACACCTAATGTCACACCTCCTCCTTCTTTAACCAGAAACAATTCATTTGAAAATACTGTTAGTCAATTATCACTGGCACCAACCACCTCAAATAGGATTAACGTTTCTTCGTCATTCACAATCGGTCCGTTTAAAAGTGACCTTGAGATCTGCTTGTACCTAGTGCAATATCTAGATCTTATCAATTTAGTGTTAAACATGGTAAATGCAGATGGCCAAGAATCAGTAATTATATGGAGAAATGCTGATAAATTTAGCACGCTTCCAGAACGGGTAGGCTTTGATTAATATTCTTCAAGCAGTAGCACTTGCAAACTCAATTTTGATATGAGTACCATTTAATTAATATTGATAATTATTATTCTATTAAAATAGCATCTTAGTACATTCCAAATAAATTTAAAATGTTTGTTTTTTCTGACAATAATCGTAAACAAACAAATCATTGATGAGCTGGTGAGATCCTTGTTTTCAGATGTTCATATTGGGTGTCAGAACGTGCTACATTGCAAAGATAGGTTTTTAGGTGTTATAGAGATTATAATGCATCTTTAAGATGCGAACTCCGAAATTTGGTCTCTGAATTTGTCAGAATGTATAAGTAAGGTTTATTATAATGAATTTTTTTCTGTCAATAATATTTTTTTATTAATAAAAAAATAAAATAAAATAAATCAATATTATAAATTATCCAGAGTGAAACTCGTGACAGTTCAGCAGATTTCTGAATACATAACAGAAAGAAATTAGATAAATTTCTTAAAATGTCATATGGATGTTATCGATGTACAAAAAATGTTCAGAGTCGCCCTAAAAATATTAAAAAATTTACTAATTTCATATGATTAGCATTCAATCTCTTTGTTCAAGAAAGCCTCCTAGACAAAGATGTGATTGATGCCTTCAAGAATTTAAATCATCTAACGGTTGATATAGAAATATTTATGGCAGATGGAATAGTTGTTTTTCAACAATTGAATCTTAGGGCACTCCTTAAGATAGACTAATGAATTATATAACATATTGCTAAACAATGCTTAATAATGCTTAATATTATGTAATTGCTCAAAGCTGAACTGGCATATTAGTTGACATAATATGTAATTAAAAAGAGTGTAATTAATCATTATTCATCATTTAACTTGGTATTAATTATTAAGTAATGCACTAATTATTTTTAAACTACTAAAAAAATTGCTCAAACTTTGTACTACCTGATTTGGCCAACTTTGGGGGTTGTCTAAAGCGGAGGCACATCATGTGATCAACAGCCAATCAAATGATAGAATTTTGATGATCGCCAGCGAAGCAAAAAACAAAAAACCCAAAAAATACAAAAAACGGCAGTCTAAACCTACCTCGGGTAGGTTAATCAAAAATGTCGGGAAGACAATTTTGCTTATAAAAAACTTAACTTAACCCCAATATAGAAGACCCTAACCCTAAATTAATCGAAAAAATTATTAAATATAAGTTGTCTTTGCTTTAGAAGTTCCCCAACTTTGGTATAGATTTGATCGTAGTAAAGAAAAGATGTCTTTGTGCTATTTGAATAGTATTGACCTGCCATGAGCAGCGAAAGCAATTTTTTTAAGCGATTGTTGTAGAAACATCTTTAATTCTGAGATTAGCTTCTGGTGGTGAAAATTAAAATTTTCAACATGTTTGAATGAATACTGCTATTCATCATATCACGTGATATCACAGGCATGCAGGTCCAAAGTTTTAGTTTTCAACAGTGTTTAAAATAGTTAACTTATGTTGTTCGGGAAGCTCGTGTTGATATGAAACAAAAAATTATGATCTAATCTAATCCACCCAACCCTTAAAAAAAATACATTAAATCAAAACTCACCGCACAACCTCATTTTTATAGTATTTCATTTTAGTAATCTTTAATTAAACCTTTTCTTATTCAGGATAGATTTATACAATTACACAATACAAGATATGCAGAGGATTGCCTTATTAGTACTATTTTAATTAGAATTTCTAGTATTTATTTTTTTTAAAAAATTTTTTTGCAGTAGTGCCATGATTTCTAGTATTTATTTTATCGTATAAAGAAACCTTTATGAATAAAATTTAATTCAGTATTAAATATTCATATATATATATATATTCGAATTTGACTCATATGCTGGTAGCCAGCATTTCAATATAAATAGATGACCATTGTCACGTGTAAATAACAATATCTCTGTTGAATAGCATTTGGCTAGCAGATTTTGGAAATTTAAAGTTTAGAGTAGCGTATTTTGCCAAGTTTATAAAATTAGATTCTGAATGATTAGTATTCAAATACCACATAAAATATATATATGTGGATTTTTAATAAACTTTTGATTTTTAACTTTCTCTTTCTCTGGCTTTTTCGACTTTCTCTCTAAATATCATCGTCAAAAATTATAAATTGAATATTATAATAATCTAGATTTTTAAAGTTGAATTAGTTTATGTTCAAAGTACTTTCTTTTCTAAGTAATTAATAACATATATACATTAAATAATAAAATGACAAGAGTATGAACAAAAAGAACAACAAAAATGTTGTATTATAAAAACATATTACATGTAAAGTTCTCAAAAATGTTCAAAGAAAAATAGTTTCAATAAGTGATAAAGACGATAGTAGCAAAAGTTTACAAAAAAATTTCTTCAATGGTGAAAGTTTACATTTGCAAGACAATTTTTCTGATATCGAACAAGAGGATTTTTCTGAGAAGAGCCAGTATATCAATGATGATCTCGAATGCAGTTCTTTTATAGCTTCAGATACGTCTAGTAGCAGTAACCAGTCAACGAGCACAGAAGATTTTGAATTACAAATGGAAGAAGAAAAAAAATTTAACCAAATTATAGTAGATAGTGGACTTGACTTTCAGCCACTATCTGAAGAGTATGGCCCGTATTTTAAAAATTTTACAGAGATGTCACTTTTTACTTGGGTCACTATGCATATGATTAGTAAGTATTAGTAGAAAGATTAGTTTTATTATTTTATTTTTTTATTTAATTAATTTGTATTTTTTAATTATTATTAACATTAACAATATTAGCAACAAAGCAATATAAAGACCTTGCGACTATTATCCAACATCCCAAGTTTAATCCTAAACATGTAATTAGGAGCATGCAAAGGTTAAAATTATTATGTCACAGACTCCCTTATAGAAAATTAAGTGCCATCAAGTTCTAATTAAAAATCTGAAGATACCATCAATATCAATATCTACCAAAAATGTTTATACAATTTCTGTAAGCGAATATCTCAAAAGGGTCCTAGGCAATAAGGGTTTAAGGTCACAAATGTATTTTGGGCCTGGTGTTAAGGCAGAAATGAAAGAAGAGTTCTGGCATAGCAAGATTTGGCAGAAATCGCCTCTCATTGGTTTATCCTCCATATCAATAAATAATGGTATGCTAAAAACACACTTGCTAGCAAAATCCTAGCTATTAAAAAATTAGAAATTCATGCTCAAATTCCAAATTATGTTTAATTTATCATTATGTTATTATTTAAACATATCATATTTATTTTAATTTTAATTTATTTTATTTTTTATTTATTTTTTTATTATTTTTTTTTTATGGTGTTTGGACTTGCCAGCAAGGATAATTTAAATGATAATTATTTAAATAATACTTAATTATCATAACTAATAAATAAAATAATTTCTAGAATTATATCAATTAGGATCATTTATTAAATACAGAGACAATGAAATAAGGTTAGAAAGAATTACAGTGATAGTCTCAACTTCTAGTGGTATCAAATTGAAAATCCAACTTCTTTATTTTGGTTCTGAACTTCTAAATTTTTTTTTAAGTTTAGCAAGAGCAAAAGGGTTATGAAATAAAGAGTTATGGTTAAGCAAAGTGACCTACTTAATTAATCTACCTACTGTTATTGGGCTAGTTACAGTTTGGCTTCAAGACACACTGGAGCCACCCGCTTATCAATTTTGTGTAAGAGAAATTTTATATACCCATGAAGGTCAGTGGAAAATAAGGAACTGTAAACTTCGACATTACTATCCAATTGAATATATCCAAATTCCAGCATCAGCACCCAATAATAAACCAATACTAAAAATAATGTTAGACATTTATTATGATGATTTTGGTATGTTCTGTAATGTATATCATTCGTTGAGTGCAATTTACCTTCAATTTTGTAATATGCCCTTACATTTAAGAAAACAATTTAAAAACCACTTTGTTTTAGGTTTTGTTCTATTTGGAGTTAAATTTGACGATGTAATGAAACCAATTGTAAATGAAATTAAAGATCTAGAAAAAGATACTTTAATGAAGATTAAAGGTCAGGACATGTGGATAGTTGCCGGCTTAGGTGTAATAACTGCTGACCTCTCTCAAGGCAATGACCTTGCGGATACAAAATGCCATAGTGGAAGTCTAGGGTATAGAAGTTGTCTGGTGTCTAAGGAATGATTAAGCGATCTTAGTTTTGATGTTAAGCTTAATACTCGATATCATCACATTACTAATAAGAAAATAAATAAATTAGAAGAATTAATAAAAGGAAGAGCATCACAAAAAATGATCAATGACTATTGTATAGAACATGGTCTAAGTGAATGTTCTAGTATTCTAAATCATCTGACAAGAAACCATAATTTACAAACACCTCAAAATGTGTATCATGCTGTAGATAGAAAAGTACAAAGATTAATGGATTGTACTTTTTCAATATTAAATCCAAGAGGGCAATGCATCTTTTTAAATTATTGGAAAAACTTTGAAATACCCTCTGGATAGTTCCGTCTCCCTAACCCAATAAAAAACTTTAATAGTTTTATATTTTCTGATTATTTGCGATTAGCAATGATCATGCCATTTTTATTATGAAGGTTTTTAAAAACATCATATATCAAAGATACTAATTTGGCTTTGTTACAAAGATAACTTACAATATTAACAAACAAGATACCATAATCTGCACAAATCGTAAACGAAATTATTTTGTGCTGGGTAGCTGTCACCAAAGTATCCTGTTTAAGTTTCAGCTTTACCTTTACCAAACAAACATATAAAGAATTAGAGAATGCTCTAAAAATTGAGCATATCCTTTTACTAAAGGTAAGAATCATATAGCTTGCTTTGTGACAAATAATATATTTCAATATTTTATAATATATGTGAGAGTTTTTTTATTATGATATTCAGCTATTCTAAATTAAGAATTTAATTGTTAGTATAATACAACAATTAATTTTTTAAAAATTTTTAAAAAAATCAAGGTAGTTTTAACAATAGTAGATGATTTTACTATGAGTCAATCTAATTCTATTGGTGTGATATCATTAACATTATTTATTTCATTATACTATTGCTTTTTCTGGATAACTTTAATAATTTACCAAATTTACATATAAATCAGCACCATGTTCAAAATGCTCACAATTTCGGAATGCTTGTAAATATCTTTGTGGGAGTAAAAGAAGCAGTACATAAAATATTCAAAGGTTCAGTTTCTAAAACAAATTGTAAGAATATAGAACTACATAATACACTTCAAACAATCTGTTATCTAATCGACAGAGGTAAAGATAGCCATTTTCTAACTATAAAAAGAGGTTTTCAAAATTTTACAATGGATCCATTGCTTTAACCCATATTATCTAATTGGTATATGATACAGAATATTCAAGAAGAGGATACAGCCAATATTGGTAAGCATATCTATATTAATTTTTAATTACTGAAATTCAAAAATATTGTCAATTCTTCAAAACTGTAAACTAGGTAATATTTTGTATTTATTACCATTATATAATTTTAATTTATAAATTATTTTAGCTATAATTACTAATGCAATGTATTTAATCGATGATAGATAGTTTCTTAAAAAGGAAATAATATTTGACATGTATGTAATTTTAAATACAATGTGATATTTCTTTCATATGCCTCTAATTTTAAGATATATTCTAAATTTCTTTCATATGTTTAGCTTTTGGTGCTCTTAATATCTCTTGAAGTTTAAACTATTATAAGTTTCTGTTTGATAAATTACTAAAAATTTTAACAATCTTTATTACTATTCATTAAAATAATTGTTGCAATAGATACAAATGTCAGATCATATAATGATAGAATCATAAATATTAAAACATGAAAATGTTTATCAAAAAGTAAATCTGCCAACTTTCTTTACCTGTAAAGCTTGATGACAACCTTCAGTTTACCTATGATATTATAAGCATATGATATTTATATGCAAAAAAGGGCCATGTTGATATATAGACGTGTGAAATTTTACAAACAAATAAGTTATACTTTGTTAAATGATGATGGCATATTTGATATGCATATGAATTTGTATTCTGTTGACATAGTACAAATTCAGGAAGAAAATAGTATATTGTACGCTATATTAAGGGGATATTTATACATAAATATAATGATGATTTAGTATATTCATTCGTTTGGGTTGACTGGTTGTGGGAATACTCAATACTTGATTCAATTCTTCATTGTCTAGTTTATGAAATACAAACAACTGAAAATACAAGATGGCACCGAGTCTACCCAATAAGTCTTATAGATAACTTATCGAAGGTTCATTTTGTACACCGTTGTCATTCTACATGTATTTCAACTTTACATAATTTCTCAAATAATCAATACTTTAGAAATGAATTTTATTATACAGCAATTTAAATATTACAAGTTATCAAGAAATGAAATTTTGAATTTTAATATTGAATTTAACTATTTTTTTTAATAATTTATTTATTAATTTTGTTTAAGAAGCCTGATACAATGCTCATTAAATTATATTACCAATTGGTGAGTATGTAAGATTTTCAGAATTTTTGTACTGCATAACAATTATTGATTACAATCTTCAACGATTTCAATATCTAGAGCAATATACTTTATTTAAATATCTACATTATCTACCTTTCTCTCAATATCTTCTATCTCGAGATTATCCTTTGTTTATCACAATCAGATTTTCTTGATCATCATCGATCTCAGGTTTTTAGAATTCTGATCCGTTCAACTTCACATTCGCTCCTTTGAGATTCATTATACTTTATCGTATGTAAATACATTAATCTCAATATCTGCGTTGATAATATGTAATAAGACTCTTCTTGCTTTTTACAGTTACTATAGAGCCCAGACCCAGTTTTCATATTCAGCTTTTTGAATAATTTAATGTGTTTAGCCTCTGTCTTATTTAGTCTATTAATTCTATGTATTCACCGATACAAGATTGATCACTCAATTTTTTTCTGTAAATATTTTCCTTTTTAATTTGTTCGCATTAATTTAGTATATGTGAGTGTAAAGAACATTTATTAATTATTCAAATTTATGACTATTGACTCTTTAATCCTGTATTGTTATGAAATAACAGGCATAGGCATTATTTAGAATGATGGCCTGAATTAAGCTTAATTTAGGCTGAAATTTGTAATTTCACCCCTGCGCGTTATTTCGTGACAATGCAATATTTTATCCGTGCTAATTTAATTTTTGAGTATAAAGAACGTTTAAACTAAAGAATCTAAGAACTCAAAATAAATTATCCAAGTTCATGAATATTACTATTTAATGTAAGTATAAAATAAAGAACTTTGATAATTTAAATGTAAAAAAAACAAACTTCATTAATTTAAAATGCTAGTCAATTTCTTAAAATAAGCAATTCATATTTAATATTCAATATTATTTTAAAATGTGAAGATAAAGAACATCGATTAATCGAAATATTTAAAATAGGCTGTTTAAGCTCATAAGTATTTTACTATTTAATTCACACGTGAGTATACAGGTTCATGAATCTTTACTAATTAATTTATCCTATCCACTTTAATTTAGAAAATGAGAATAAAAAACATTATTGATTATCATAGACATTACTATCCAATTCGGTGAGCAAATAAATTGTTTGCATTCAAATTTAAGAGTTTTATAAAAAATGCAAAACATAATTAATATATTTGCTAAATATAGAGAATCTGGATATAGAAGATGCACACATCATAATAAAGATAGCAGCATAATGATCCAAAGATAGATAAATGGGAATAATGATATTGATGACTGCACGAAGGGCTCTAACTTAGAATTAATGCAGATTGAGTAGATTCTCTTTGACAGACTCGGTGATATTAAAAAAATTGTAGTTTTGTTTTGTATTTATGTAAACTTGTTGGGTAGTATGTGAAAACTTGAAATAATTAAAGATGATAATGACATATAAGAATTTGTGGATCTAGCACCATTGCACTCAAGGCCTTGTCAGTTCTAATAGAAAATCTCGTGAGTTTTGGAAGTTAAGTCATTATCTATCATACAGGTTATTAAATGAATATGTTTAATAGTACTATATTTCAATATATCAATAGTGAATTAGGTGTTCTATCAGATCAAAGGTTTATACCAACTTAAGATATTTTTGCTTTAGAACAACCTTGGTCATGCTTAGATTATTTGACAAAAGTAACATTATACAATCCTCATAGTTAAAACGATCATACTACTAGTATTTTGCTTCGTATCGGATATTAGGTATATATACGTAGAATATGTTTAAAATGTTAAAAAGTATTAATTCTAACATGCTGTTTTAATAAATAGACTAACATTAATGATACAGATATAAGTAATCTAAATATGGAGTTGTTTGAGCTAAAAATATAGAAGTAACGAAAATAAGGCGTATGTCTATTATCAAACATCTAATTGATATATCAAGTTGGTCATTGTTAAGAATTGAGAAGTTAAAAAATGAAACAAAAGTAAGGCACTTATTCATTATCAAATGCTGCTGGTATAAATAATTTTAACAGAATGTATTAAATTGGCTATTGTTATTATTTAAGAATTGAGGAGTTAAAAATATGGAAGCAATGGAGATAAGGTACTTGTTTATTATTATCAAACGTTATATAAATAATTTTAATAGATGTATTAAGTCAGTTATTGTTATTACTTCAGAATTGAGTTAACAAGATGTAAGCAACGAGAGTAAAGCACTTATTTATTATCAAATGTTGCTAATACAAACAATTCTAATAAAATAGTCATTGTTTAAGAATTAGCTAAAAGATAAGCATAAATTATTTAATAAGGATTAAATTTGATAAGTTATTTGTAATCGTTTAATTATAATTGGATTTTGATTTTTCATTAGAAGCTTAAATATTTTTAATAATTTAATCTTTTATGCTGTAAGTATAATCAACACACTTTTAATACTTCTGCTAATCTACTATCAAGATCTACCTATGCATTTTACATTGCATAAGCACTATAACAAATATGCAGCATCGAACGTTTGCCCGTTCTTATAATTTTTGAAAATAGACATTTCCAGTTTTGCTACTGCACTTTATCAAAAATAAGCACCGGTGGGATAATTGGTTAGATGCGAGCCCTTATAAGTAATTTTTTATATTTAGGGCACTTTCTAG